CAAGCGCCGTAATTAGAAGGAAATATTGTTTTATCTTCATTAAATCTTCCTCAAAAGTGAAGTTGTGGGTGTTTTGGGTGTTTTGGTTGCCGTCGTCGGGGAACATATCGGAGAAGAAGGGGGTGAATTTTTTTTTTTTTTTTTTTTAGGTGATTTTTGGATAAAAAGTGGGAAAGGATAAGGGATTTGTGGTGAAATTGGGGGAAAAATCCGTCTTTTATAGAGGTAGGTTTATCCGTTACTGTTCTGTACAACTGTAAAAATATCATATAATAGTCTAACGTACTGGCATAAAATTATGGTCCATATATATATATTTATAATTGTAAAAGGTTATCACACTGGGAATGCAAGCCATAGTGGTCCGAGAGCCCTAATATCTATAAAAGATCATGGGTTCGAAAACGGAAAGAAACACAAAAAGTATGTAAAAGTAAGAAAAATAATAAGTGTAAAAGGCTGCATCTTTTTGTTAATCTAGTTAATAATAATATGCATGCAAAGCTACTACTTAGCAATTATAATAACTAAGATAAAAATTTACGTAAAATGAGTATGTAATATCAACATGGATCAAACAAAGAAACATCAACATGAATAAACAAAAGATGATAGTAGTAAATTCACAAGTAAGAGAACTTTCACCGTTGTTTTTGAGGTATATATAGTAAATGTTTGAGTTTCTGTTATAGAGGATCCCAAATATGGGCAACTATAGAGCATACTCCTCGAAACATTTAGAAGTAGATAGTATTATTTGTTATAAATTTTTAGAAGTAGGTATAAATATACCTGACTGAAAACTGGTGCTGATAACGTGTTAAAGAATTTACCGATAGAAAAGTTTTGATTAATAAAAGGAGTAAAAGAGTGAAAGAAGATGGGTGAAATTGTTGTAGTGTTATCATTGTATTCTTACTTCTATGGCATTGTATTTATAGCCATGAGTTACACTAATAATACAATAATTACTCACATAGAGCCATATGAGTTCACAAGTGTTTGGACCTATATGAGCATTGTGTAATCAAATCAATAATTGGCATTCACTTATTAGACTTATCTTCTAACAATCTCACCTTTGTCATCTATGACTTTCAATTTTACTCATAATTGTTATGCTTATGGTGAATTTCAATGTTTATATTTTTTATTATATTACTATGGTCTATGCGGTCTATGTTTATTAAAAAGATCTTCTTTTCCAAGAAAGTATTGGTCATATCAACTTATCCTGTAGTTAATGAGAGTTTTCCATGTTTCCAAGGAAATACTATTTGTATCACTTGTTGACTTTGTGGCATTTTCTATAACCAAAATTCAATTACAAATTATTTTTGGATTGGGAGGAATATTATATTGATCAATTTATTTTCATATTAGCTCTACATTAGAATGTCATTCTTTCTTCATTTATTTTAATATACAAAATATTTCATGTGACTACTTTCTTTGGGAAGGAGGATTTTCGTAATACGATACTCGTTTTAGATTATCATGACGTCGTGAATTCACATGTGGCCATCATCCCCTTAGGTAAAAGGTTGTACTAGATTAAGAATTCAGCATTTTGTTAACGAATCATTATGAGTTGTAATCTTTGCTAATATGGATTGGCAAAGTAATTAGATCCAATAGATGTTTATGCATATGATTGCATTAAGGAAACTAGGGTGTGGCCTTTATCATGGGGTAACACACTTTCACCATATGGGTTCTCAATATCATTTATCACGCCTAGGTAGTAATGGCATGTGCTTGACACTTTAGGTTTTTTGCCTTTTGGAATTAAAATCAATTTATATTAATTTATGTTTCTTTTTTTTTTATTTTCTATTTAATTAGTTTTATGTTTTTTGGTGAGGGGTAAGGAGGAATCTACAAAGGATTTGAACATTACACCAATTCTGTTACCAAACTGCACTTCTGCATTGCTTATACTCCAAAAAGGGTCCCACTAGAGTCATATGTCAAAAGATGGTATCAATCCAAATTTGAAGAGTTTCTTAGAAATTGCTGTTATAACAAGCTAAAATTACCTAATTCCTAATCTTTGATGGTATTCTTTGTGATAGTTGTAGAAGAAGAAATGTTGTACTTCCAAATACTGAAAATGAGTGTTTTTTAGTGCTTCTTGTTGATTAAATAATGACCAAGAAAAGGACCTCCTGAAATTAAGTAAATGTAGTGATCAAGAATATTTGAATGTTGCTAATACTTACACATCTATTAACAGAATTGTCCTTAAAATACAACTAGTATCAGTTAAGTGGAGCCATATGCGCATAAAGCGTTTGTATGTACTCAATCCATCCTTTTGAGATTGCCCTATAGAATTTAGTTCATCTTAAGTTGGTTCATTTGAAATCATGTTGGATTTATTGTTTCTTTATGGTTGCGTATAAGTTGTAAAGGGAGAATATATTCCACTTTACGAATGAAGTTAACTCATTGGATTATTGGAATATCCATTTTTATAATATCGGGCAATCTTAATGCAATAGGAGTACCAATTAGTAGATCTGGCCTTACTTAGACGTTATTATGTTTGCCTAATTATTAATTCCTTTTTCGTAACATATCTTCCCTACCTAACAAACTATACTACATGCTAGCTAAATTGATCTTGTTAAGCAGTAGCTACCACACTATTTTTGGTCATTGATATAAGTCTACTCTTTTAATTTTCTTCTCATTCACACTATTAATTGTGACTAGGAATGGCAACGGATCGGATTCGGGTCGGATGTGGCTAAATCCGAATCCGATCCGTTTAGTAAACGGACCCTGAATCCGAGTCCGAATCCGAAAAATCCGAGTCCGAATCCGATCCGACTCGTAATTTTCGGATCCGAATCCAGTCCGTTTATTCGGACCTCCGAAATGATCCGAATATTTTTTATTTTTTATTTTTTGTAATGTCATATACCTATAATTGCTTGCATTGTCATACTAATTAAAGTATAAACATAACATATTTAAATTATAAATTAAGTTACATAACAAAAGTTTGCTACAAAACAAGCAAATAATTGTCCCAAGTTATAGAGCATATGCTTATACTCTTGGATTCGGACTCGGATCGGACTCCATCGGACTTTGCGTAGGGTCCAAGTCCGATCCACCTCCTATTCGGATTCGGATCTATTTTATCGGATTCGGATTCGGACTAATTTTAAACGGATTCGAATCGGATTTTTTCCTTCGGATCGGATCAGATTCGAATTGAACTCGGTTTAAATTGCCATCCCTAATTGTGACCAAGTAGGCAATGTACTGTAGTTCAATAAATCCCTTTGATTGATGAAACAACATTTGAAATGCCAGTGATGGGAAAGTCAATGTTGGTAGTTCAATCTTTTTTAATTGGTGTTAATGCTTTCTATATTACCTGGTCCTTCAAACATTAGGTACCAAAACTAGAAACAGACCTTGATGGGCATTTTTAACACCCAATAGATTCCCCCCTATTATGCCATTCTTTTTATTATTTCAACTACCATAGTTACATTCTTTTTTTTTTTTTTTTGTCTACCATCATGAATATGTAACTAATTTTTTGTAAGTTTTATAGGAAAAATAGTACACCCTACGTCCCAAAATAAATCTCGGCATTATTTTGGGGTTTCTCTAATAGTGTCCATGTTTCCCTCAATTTTTTTCTGTTCATTATTAATTTTGCTTAATTGTCGTTTCAAAGTGTGAAGCTTATTTTAGGACCGAGGGCAATTCTGAAAAACTTCGTTCTAGAAATCTTTTATACTCAAATGAATTATTAATTAGAAAAGGAGTCATATAATAAATGTCAAACATGGTACCAAGATTTCACATTTCCTTGTCATTTATTCTCTCTTTTTTGAATTTTAGCTAGATGACTTCAGAATTATTAAGGAAGTGGTATATGCTTTCTTTTTCATGCTTAGTTGTATGTGAGATTTTTCTGATAACATGTTTTTTCTCAACTTGTTTGAGCTCACCCCAATTATTATATAAAATGAGAAAAAAAAAAATTAATATGAAAAATTAAAAAAAGCACTCATTCTAGTGGGTCCCATCAAGTACCCCAAGGACAAAACACACAAGGCATCATGATGGGCCTAAGTCTAAAAAAGCTAGACATTTCTTTTTGCAAAGGTATCTTTTTTCAGGCCTCTTAATTGGTTGTAATTTGAGAAAATTACACATTTTTTTAATTAATTATTTAGTGAGTGATGGTATCTTACAGAAGATATATGTCAGTTTCACTAGTGTTCGAATCCAAATGGAAAACTCTTCTCAGTTTTTATCCAAGATCTTAGCTGTTTCTCATCACCAAAACATTCCCATTACAGAAATTGATGTCAGAAATCAAGTTGTAACATGGGATTAAAGAGTAGTATGATTTGTCTTTGAGTATCTTTGTGATCGTGTTATTTTATCCTAATACAGTCTTTTAAGTCGTTGCTTTCGATACTAATCGTTAAAAAATTACAATTAGTACTCTTGTTTGACATTTTTGATCTCTTAATGCTTGACTGTTTTTGGGGACCCTCTTGAGAGTTTAAAAGGGTGATTAGCTATGGTCCCCACACATAAGCATATAGAGTTAGTTATTGGAATTCTTGTTCTTGATTTTCTCTGATGGAACTTGGATCTTGCCTGGGAAGAACTGTAGTTGGACTCTTACTAATATGCATCGAGATCCAGATTCAATTATTTCAAAGGATTCTGAAAAACTTTATCTTAGGAAAATATGCTTTGAATTTGTGTATTCTAATGTTACTCGAACTTGGGTGTTGGACAGTTGGTATTATATGCTGGTGTGGTATGTGTCTAGTGTCTGTAGTTTCCGTACATGTTAGAGAATCGATAATTTGACTATAGTGCTGGAGGTAATATGCTGAATATGGGTAAATTAGTTAATTATAAAGACTCAAAACACAATTCATATAATAAGTTCAATCAATTTCTTCGATGCCACTTAATGTGATGTATTTTAATGTAGTGTCCGTTCATTACAGGGTTTAGATCCAATGGCAATATCTGAAGCATTTTCTGTGGCTCAGTACATGGGAGAGAAGGAGATTATGGGCGTTGATTGTTTTGTCCTGAAATTGTCTGCTGAGCAAAATGATCTTGCTGATCGGAGTGACAACACAGCCGAGACCATCAAGCATGTAACATTTGGCTACTTTAGCCAAAAGAGTGGATTGCTAGTGTACTTAGAAGACTCCTACTTAACAAGAATACAGTCCCCAGGTGCATGTCCTCGCTATTGGGAGACTACAATGGGTTCAAAGATTGAGGACTATCGGACAGTGGAAGGTGTGATGATCGCACACTCCGGTCAAACTCATGCAATCATCACTAGGTTCGGGGATAATCTCAAGTCAGGTCCTACTATACTACGAATGGAAGAGGCTTGGATGATCGATGACTTTGCTTTTAACGTGCAAGGACTATCTATGGACTGCTTTATCCTCCCACAAGAAGTGAAGAGCAGCTGTCTCGAAGAGAAGCTCAAACAAGGTCCATTGTTCCCACTTGATCGATGATCGTCGATTATTTCAGTTCGGCCGCACTAACAAACTTCATCAAGGAAGATTTACATCATAACAATGCTTGGAATAGGATTGATTACTGATATTTTTTTAAAAAATGTTTTAGCATATGAAATTTTCGCCTTTGTTTTTTTTGGGGGGATTTTGTATATAATTGCCTATATATGAATCACCAGTAAATAAACTACTTATGTAACAAGAATTGAGTATATGGGTAATGGTGACCCATATTAGCCATTCACTTTTGTAAGAACTTGAGAAGCAAATAATAGTTGCTTCCTTGTCTACTCGTTTTATGAAATTTGGAAATGCATTTTATCTACTTGTATCATCTCACGTTTCTTCCTCTTGAACATGTCCCTACAAACATACAAAGTACTTGTATAATGTTATACGGAGTACGTACTTACTGAGTAATCGCTTTGTTACATTTATTGAGTGGATAGATAGATTTATTTTTTTCACAAAGTCTGTTTGATCATATGTGGTTGAAGAGGTTTGAACACTCAACCTCTAAGAAGAAAAGTCATTGATTAACCGTCTAATCAATTGTTACTTATGTTATAAACTTGCACATAAATTTATGTTATACCACAAAAGTATTGAAAACACTTCAAACTATTAAATGTCTCTCACAAAATTAGTAGTTGCATTACTAATAAAAGGTAGCAATCCGGGGCAATGCTTACTTTAATACGAGTTGTATTAAGTGGTTAAATAGAGTAGTTTTGAGTGGATAGATAGAGTTTATTTTTTTAAAAAAAATATTTTTTATGCTTTGAATTTCATAGTCTCCAATGCTCATCTTTAATCTGCATACATTCAATAGGATTTGAGTAAAATTTTTTAAAATGATATTCAGTAATTAACCATGCGCCTGCCTAAGTGCTAAGTAGTTGATTAGTAGATATACTTCCTCCGTTTTTTTAGTTGACACCGTTTGACTTTTACACTATTCACATAACACGCTTTGACTCGCTTTTGTGGTTTATAGATACGATAAAACATATTCATGTGGGATTTTGTTTGAATCGTTTCATTGTATATTTTATTAATATCCACTTTTTATAATTTTATAATGTTGATAATTAGAGATATTTATCGTTAAAAACAATGCGTTGATAAGCGTGATAAAAAAAGGAAAAATTGAGTTTATAAATCCCAACTTTGGGCGATTTACTATGAAAAATCCCAACTATGCATTATCTCTCAAAAATCCTAACTTTGATACCCATTTGCTTTTAAAGATCCCAACAGGTCACCAAACCTCTTATTTTAGGTTACAATCTACGTGTCAACACGTGATTGGTAAAAAAATAATTAAAAAAAACTAAAAAAACCAAAAAAAAAATTAAAACAGCAGCCCCCCCCCCACATCCAGGAAAACACCCTACCCGCACCCCACCCGCCAAATTATCGCCCCCCACCCCCGATAACCCCCTCCCCGTCGCCGGAATCCGACGACCAACCCTCTCCCACCCCTTTCCCTCCTCTCACCCTCGTGAAACCCACCCACTTGTAGGGAATTATAGGTACTACGCAGCGGAAAAATATGAATCATATTCATACAGTACCTAATCCCAAGATCTAATACATAACACATAAAGAACATATAATCGTACCTTTGAAGCGTGATTCCACGTGCGATCGAGCAAGAACAATGGGAGATAAAGAACCCCAAGCGTGATTCCTCTACTTAGTCCACAAGCATGGATTAAACCTCCACTAATGCTAGTTAGTTGTGACTGAACACTTCAATCAACCTTCAACGGAGATTTGAGCCACGAACACACCACAACACCACCCACGTGCCACCACACGCACTACCAGGGGAGGAGGGCCGTACGGATAGGGAGGAGAGAGAGAGAGGGCCGAGCAGAGAGAGAGAGAGTTAGGGTTTTTAGGAAAACTGGTTGCTTGTGTGACAATTCACTGTATGTCAATTGTTGTTACATGCAACCCTAGGCATGGTTTATATTTATAGATCATATCTAGAAATAAAACCATGTCAAGTCCAAAACCCATTAAACTCTTCTAATTATCCAAGCCCAATTATTAATGTGGTATGTCATAAACTCATGAGGCCCAATAATGGGCCTCTAACTTGTTTAACCCAATGCTCTTATGTGTGACCTTGTAGGATCCATTCTATAAGGCTTTGGGCTATTAAGCTAGCCCAAAGATCAATTGTCATATCTAGCACCAAACATTGACGACCCTATAGAATGAACTTATTATCTCCATAATAGTGATCCTTGATATATCTAGTAATTGCACTTATCGAAGACATAACTTCTTCAATCTCCCACTTGTCTAAGACAAGTGCGCAATATTCAAATTCCTTAAGTCAATGTGTGTCGATTTGATAATAAGATTGCATCTCATGTCGTGATCATATTAGTCTACAAATCTTTTCTTGAAATACTGAGTGAGATTCACAGAACAAATGATTACTATGTAATGCATTTGAGCACGACCATGCATTTATGTCAAAGTTTGAAGATCCAATAATCCTAGGGATGCATAGCATCATGTCAAAGGAATCCACTAATATATCCGGAAGCTCTATACTTGAACTTCAAAGTAGGTCTATAGTTCGATCATGCATATCCATGTGATTGACCGAGCTTCACTACGATCCTATAGCCCATGAAACTGCGCTATCCAATCAATCTTACATGCTAGTCCATGAATTGAAATCATTTATGTCCAGTTTAATGATTCCGAACTAGGAACTTAAATAATATATGAATTTAGTTCACATGTGGGGTTTCATTCACCAGGCCATCAACCTGATGAGCCCATCAATTCATAATTATTTTGGACATTTTATTTAATCTTGAAACCACGATTAAATAAGATTGAAACTTTGTTTCAATTGATAAACATAATTTTGCAAACGAATGTATTACATATGTAACTTGTTTTTCTCCAAAAACAAATACAACTTCTAATTACATTATTTGCCTCAATCCAGTTTCATTAGCATGTTTCCCATGCTTTGGAAATGGAAGGGGTTTATTAATTAGAGTTCATGAGACATTCTCATAAACATGAACTTTGCAATTTCTAAATCTTATAATCATTTTCATCTCCATACACTAAGAATTTACCTTCGCCCTTTCGCAAGGAACTCTGGAATTTCTAATTTGTATTCCAACGTTATATTGGATTTTGATTGAAATCTATCATCACTTGTTCTAAAATGAGTATAGTCCATGACATGCATGATGCATCCTTTGCATATTGCATGAGGATCATCACTCAACACCTTAATTTCATCAATCTTTCTCAAAATATTGAATCATTAAGCAATGTGCCATGTTACATGGGATTGAAACTCCTTTCAATATAATGTTGAACCTTATACGAATCTTATCAATATAAGCTTCTTAACCAAACTCAAACATCAATAAAAATCTATCTCTATAGATTTTGAATCCCAATTGTACTCATCATTCTCTTCAAGGTTTTTCATACAAAATGTACTACCCACCACTTGGCTCTTCAAGCAATGAATAATTTGCTCTTTATACTAGACCAAGAAGACTTCATAGCTCCCACTAAAAATCTTGTACACATAAGACCTTTTCTTCATTTTACGAGAACATCAAACGATTTGATTTACTCACAAAATTAAGAACACTAACTCCATGATGCTATGCATCCCTAGTATTATTGGATCTTCAAACTTTTGATTGTATCATATACAAATCTTCTTTTATGAACAATTTCAATAAAGTGTTTTGAAGTCCATTTACCAAATCTTATAAGATAGTAATCACTAAAATATCTTTAATAGATCTTTGTAACATGACTAATATAAAGTTTTCATTGTAGTCATAGTCATACTATGAATTAGTTGAATCCTTTAATAAGTCGTTGCTTTAGTTAGAAAACATTTTTCTTTCTTGTCTGTTTTGCTTATAATGGGTCTCACCCAATTAGGCAAATTATTCAAGTGTCATACATTTGCTTACAGACTTAGAATCTATTTCAGATTTCCTGGCTTTTAAACCACTTGGAGTTATAACTTGTCAAATCATATTTATTACATGCATAATCATCATGTTCAAAAATGAATATTTTAGAACTCTTAATCAATATGAAATCATATTTCTTTGACTAAGTTTTACATATGCTAGTCATCATTGTGGGTTTTGATGCAACAATTGAAACTTATACAACAACTTTGTTTAGTTTCAATGAGAAACGACAATTGAGGATGTGCACTTGGAATGTACTACCTTCGACACATGGTTATTATTCCCATTACACTTAATGAGACCACGCGTTGTCACTTGTAACATGAGGTGAATCATACTCATATTGTTGCTTTTATTCGATTACTTCTTGAATTTCTTCAAGATTTTCGAAATCATTTTTCTTGAACTCTTTCAAGGCTCTCAAACTTTTCGAGATTCTTGTACTCCCACTTGCCTTTTTGAAGAGGCACTTTTAGCATAGGGTGAACCAACCATGGTTTGAACCATGTTTTTTGCTTTTCTCGAACTCTTTTGAGATTTATACTACTCCCACTTGACCTTTTGGAAAAATTTCCATAAGGGCACCTACTTGAGCAACAAACATTTTGTGCTAAGTATGATTTGTGTAGTAGTACCCTGTGCTCTGTATAGGAATTGATCGTGCATTAAACAATTTAATACAACATTTATTCCTTGCTTTGTAGAAAGACTTTATAAGAACTCTTCTTATCCATATCATATATGGAGTCTTTGCTACACTTAATTTGACATATATAGTTTGTTTAGTTTTGTAGCTTATCTTAAAAGTATATCCCTTGAACAATGGTTGGAAGATAGGTAATTTTCATCCATTATCAAAATATATCTTATATAGATTGATAGCTCCCTTCATAAACACTTCACAAGGTTTTCTTTCGGAGTTTGTTGTAAAACGATTTCACAACTCTTGGATGTTCATCAAGGTCTTTTGAATGTGTTGCCAAGTATATGTCTTGACTTAAATTTTCACAATTACAATCATATTGTAATGTAATCATTATCTTGTCAAGTTGATACTGAACTTCATACTGAGCATTTTGAACTTTTCAGTATTTTCATTTCCATGCTTCAACTAAGCATAAATAGTGATCATATCACAAATGAAGTTTCATTGTCCGTCTCTAGCCTTTGAACCTTTGGTTTTCTTACATCGATATGTATTCGACCTCGAGTTCACATCATCATTTCTTTAAATGGTGACTTAGTCAAAATTTCAAATTAGAATGATAATTACATATATCAATGGATTCATAATCCAATGATATTGAAAGTCCATCCCTTTGGATCCTCTGCATGTAATTTTCAT